AGTGTCACAACTGGAGCTGGCCGCTTACTGGAATGTGTCAATACAGAGTTTGTATGAGCTAGAGTTCAAACAGGGTTTTTGTCAAGACGGCCGTAAGTAGAGCTGTTCGCTTACGAGAGTGTCCGCTCAGAGAGCTTTGAATGTACTTTGCTTATTTACGTTCATTGAACAAATAACGTAGCTCTGTTGTAAGGGAATGTATGCAGTATTGAACAGATTTTGGCTTGTCCAGGCTGTGATTACCAAAGTAATGCTGATGTTTTGTTTCTTAAACCACAGAGTGATGGCCAGATTTGTTATGGACCCAAAGTTCTTGGAACATGATGCATTGTAAGTACACAAAAGGAATCTTTTTGGGGATGTACCTTGAAATACCTTCTGACCATTCAAGACACTTGCCTGAATTATAAACCCACGAGGAGAAGGCAAGTCCCTTCATTTGAACTACCCATTCTTGTTAGAAAACCAAAATTTGGTCCCCTGCAACATGTCCCATGAATTGGAAAGACTAGTCTCTGGTTTTGTGGGACATCATTAGTCCCTGCGATCAAATAAGAAAATAAACCAATCAAAGACCAAATCAGACTGTACCTGCATCAAGTCCATTCGTATGTATGCTGAAGGGATTTGTCCCCAGGACATACACACATGTAGTCTTGTTACAAGTCCCTGCAACCAGTCCCCCTCATGCGAACAGCTACAGGGGATTTATTGCAGGGACTAGTCCCCTCATGTGTACTGAATTTAAAGGACAAACAAACATCTTTGTGTCCATGGTAACTAGACCATAAATAATAATTTTTTTTAATATATCAATCTCCATTGGCTTAGAGTGGGACAGAGAGCTAAAAAGGACCTGAATAGAGTTAAATTATCTGCCAGATTTAACAGTAGAGCAATACAGCTTCCAAAATTTAATGTCACTTTTAATGATTTTATATTTTTGAACAGTGCTCTGTTTGTTTCAACTCATGGATCAGACAGAAACTTGGTATCTTCAGTTACCAGTCAAAGGCCTTCCTGAAAGAAATAAAGTGAGTATACATGTATCTGTGAAAACAGTGGGCTTGGTTTCATTAGCCTTCTCAGATAGGCTCCAAAACTTGTAATTCCTGTTAGGCCCTGTTTCTGTAATGATCGCAGGCAATAATAAATTATTGTAGCCTGAGAACATGGAAAACAACGGGTTTACTCTAGTTTGTTTATAGAAAAATTTGTAACTTAGAATCTCCTTGGTATCTGTTATTCATCACTGTTTTCTTTTCTTTTTTTCCGAGAAAAGTTGAATAATAATCATTGACTTTTAGGTCGCAACTTTGGGGGTTTATTTTCATAACAACCATTAAATTTTATCACTACATTCAGGGGGTCAATACTTTTGGAACTTTATGGTTACCTTAAGTTACGTTTTTTTGTTCTGAATCCACTCCACCTCTAGACTGTGAGCAGTCTCTTTATTTTCCTAATTTTTTCTGGGGTGCGACAAGGCAAAGTGGTGATGCGACGATTACACTTAATTTTGCATAGTTATTGCATTTCCGCTTGTGCCAAGAATCTGAGGAAAACTGAGACCAACTGCTTGCAGTCTACTCCACGTCATATCTCTCATTTTTGTTGACATAATTTGAAAATTTTTCTTTTAACACACTTTATGTTGCCAGTTTCTGGACCCTCACGTTGAACCATTTACAGATCAAGAAACTTATGCCTGTAAGTCAAACACCACATAGACGCAGGTACTGTATTCTGGACACGAAAACATTAAATACCAAGAGTCTTTGCACGCATTGGCGGGCCTATTGTTGCTAGATAATTTTAGTACAACACTATTAAAGTGAATTTTATTGTTTGGCTTGTAAGGGGTGGGCCATAAGAAAAACTGGAGGTGTGGGGGAGAGGTGACAATCCCCCCCCCCCCCCCTCTCCCTCCCCAAAAAAACATGTGCAAAGATGCAATGCAACCTGCAAAGAAAGATAGTCACAAAAAAATTCCAGCAACTTTGCTCGCCAAAAAGAGAAAAAAGTGAACAGAAAATGTTTCACTTTAGCCACTCATAAAGCTTTATTTTTCATTCTTTGGAAACTGAGATTTAGCTTGAAGGAAATGATGTAACATTTTGTAAAGCATTTTTTGACAGAAACTTGTCTGGCAGATAAAAAGATTTGACGATATCTTTTATGACGTTTTTGTAGTCCACAGCCATCGTCAAGAAACTGAACCGAATCCAGGAACATATGTTGAGGAAATATGACCCAGAGTTGTGGGTTCACATGAAGAACTTAGACATCACACCCCAAGTCTATGGACTGTAAGTAAAGAAAAAATGCCTTGACGGCTTAAAGGAGCTACGTCACGGATGGCGCATCTTGAAATTTAGCCTAAATTTTTCAAGTTCGTTGTTCGCAATCCGTCTCAATCTTCCCCAATCTTAAACCATCCTTGTTTTCCTGTTTTGGTTTATGATTACCTCATTGGTGTTATTCCACGTTAATAGATTATTATTTCAAGGTTTCCTTTGATTTGAAGTTTTTTTTTATTATACTGCACAAAATTACTTAAATATCGTGACATAGCTCCTTTAAGCAGGCCTCAATATACCCTTATTGGGTTATGAAACCGTGTTTTTGGGGGGGGGGGGGGAACAACCCTTTTCTAATGAAATCGGAAAATGGAATTTGGACTTCAAAAAACGAAGAATTAGAAGCAAATAGAAACTCATTGAAGAAAAAAGTGCTCTTACTAATGGGAAAGATATTAATTCAGTTTGTCACGAGCACAAGCGTTGGGACAAAGAAAAAAAAATCTGAGCCCCCGATGGGAGTCGAACCCAGGACCTTCCACACACCGGTCGGATGCTCTAACCACTGAGCTACAGGGAGACTTGTGGCGAGCTAGGCCATTTACTAGGTTCATATGTAACACGCGTCCTGCATACTGTTAGGAGCAGCAATGTCAAAAGCATCATGTGTGGTAATAAAGAAAGATGGTATGAAGAATTGAAGAAAATGAAGAAAAAGTGGTGTTTACTAAAATAAATAATGTTTTTTTTTTTAATTCACTTTGGTTGGCAGTCGCTGGATTCGCTTACTGTTTGGTCGCGAGTTTCCAATGGATGATGTTCTCGTGTTGTGGGACGCACTGTTCGCTGACGGACCAATGTTGGATCTTGTGGATTATATCTACATCAGCATGTTGGGGGCCATCAGAGACAAACGTATGCTTGCTGTGTAAACGTTTTAGTAGGCAATGTAGATATATCAAACTTCTGACGAGGCTTGGGGGATAGACTAATGCAAATAAATTACTGAATCAAGTTATTCATTCCACACCCTCGTTTTTTTTTTTTGTTCCTCTAAGCCTTGGAGCTAGCCAGAATTGTGATATATCGAAATTGGCCTATTCGCACCATTTTCTGTAGTTAATTTCATAGTAAAATTTAATGGTTTGAACCCAGTTGTATATTCAGTAGTTCGTCTGCTGTGATCGTCTGGGTGAGGGTAGCCCTGAAAAGGTCTGTTTTTGGACCTGTGTTTGGGGTAAGGGAAGGGCACCCTCGTAGACTGCGAGAGTCGGTCTTTTTTCCTCAGATCCTTGGTGCGAGTGAAAGTAAATAATTATGCAAATTAGGTGTAAAAAACGAGGAGAGATTGGGGAGAGGGAGGAAAAAAACACCTTCCTTCTTCGCCGCACCCGTGCGGCTCGAGGCTCACAGCTTCGCCGCTTAGATTCTGCTACCTTTAACGAGTTTCTTTTTAATTCCCAACGATCACCTCCCGTCACTTTTATTTTTTATTACTAACGGTTTGCTGTTTGTTTCCAGTCCTTCGAGGAAGTTACTCGGCCTGTATGGGTTATCTGATGAAATCTCCCCGCGTCTATGATGACGTGTATCATTACGTCAAAAAATGCGTTGATAATGAGAGAAAATAAGGTAAGACTTGACAGAGAGGTGTTTTTGCTGTTTGCCGGCTATACAGCTAGGGGAATAAGTACCAGTTGATGACGAAATCCCGCCTCCGAGACGGGACTGAGTTGCTAAGCAACATGACGTATTTGCTGGCGCGATTGCTTTCGGAGTACTCGTGAGTGCTCGCGCTAGTTTCTGATTGGATAAAAAGATTCGGAAACTCTTCGAGTGCTTCCACGAAGATTTGCCAAAACCGGTTCTTGTTTCCCCGACTGTATATCTGAGAAATAGAAAAATGGCGCGTGTTTTACATAGCCCACTCGAGAAAGTTTGGGAGAATTCAAAAGTTTAAAACTATCAAACTCCGTCAGTGACACATGTAACAGTCAAGCTATTTGGGAAAAGAATTCCGAGTTCCCCCAACAGGAGCCGAACCTATGATCTTCCGTACACCGGTCGGACGCTCTACCACTGAGCTACAGGAGACTCGTGGGAGCTTAGGCCATACAACTAGGTTCAAATGTGACAAACGTCCCGCATACTGCTAGGATTAGATTTGTAGATATGTGATATTTACAGTATGTAAGAGCGAGTCTAAAGTCCGCTCTAAACTTAGTTTTCTTTGCTGTTTTGGAGAGAAAAAAATTATTATGTCTGAGTGAAATTTTGATGCTGATAAATTATTTTCTTCATCCACTATTTTTCATTTCCCATCTAGCCATCTTCAACTCGATCCAGTCCACGGCTGCCACGTTCGTCCGCGGCCCATCCCATCGATTCATCCGGGACATTCCCCATGAGAAAGGTACATCCCTTGTTTTGACTTCTGAGACACGTGATCTTTTAAGCCCACGTAACTAGCGATCTCTTTGTTACCATAGAAACAAGGACCAAGAGACCGCCGTCTGCTTTCACGTCATTCACGAAGCGGTATCAGCAGTTTATGGAACCGGCCAAGCCAACAGCCGTGAAGCCTACAGGGAAACCGCTGAACCAACAGGCGCCGAGAATCACGAATAATGGTAAACAATATACTACAACTAAAGAGAAAGAGTTCTTAGCAGTTGTAAAGAAAGCCTGGAAATAAATTCAGGCCCCCATACCAACGGGGTTCCAACCCATGACCTTTGCGATTCTGGTGCAAATGCTCTGCCACTGAGCTATGAAGTCACTGGGAGCTGTCCAGTCGATTGTGAAATTGACCAGCTCCTAGTGGCTTCATAGCCGGGCAGTGTTAACCGTCGCGATCGTATGTCAGTGCATTCGATATGCAAAAGTTGTTCAATATTGAATATACTGAAAAAACCCATGAAAACTTCTTGATTTGATAAAACACATTCTCTCTTCGGACAGCACACTTTCCAAAACTGCGAGAGAGACGTCTGAGATTCGACCTAAAAATTCCATACTGATGACGTAGCTCTACAGAGACCCGTGTAGTGTCTCTGATTGGTTGTTGCTCGGTTTTGAATTTCGCGCGCAAGAATTAACCAATCAGAGACACTACACGGATCTCTGTAGAGCTACGTCATTAGTATGGAATTTTTGGCTTGAATCTCGCAGGTCAGGCCAAGAAGTTTCCTTTTTATAGGTTTTTAAACTGTATTCAAAATTTATCAGTTTGAGAATTTTTGTTTTCCTTTTTAGTGGAGGAGCTTGTTCCCAGGGGCTCACGGCCGGCCCGTCCAGTCTCTGTCCCAGCCCCCGAGATGAGAGAGCGTACCGACTCGGGTTCCCATTCCGCGAGTCCTGGGAAGAGCTTGAAGTCGCTCAGCAATCCACTCAAAGGGAAGCTTATGACTCGGCCCAGGGCTCGCTCCAGGGTAGAGTTTGATGAACTGGTTCAGGTAAATGCTTTGTCGCGAAATATTAGTCTTTTTTGCGATGTACAAAATCACCTTCATATCGAAAGTAACCTCAAAATAATAGTTTACCAAGGTAGAAAAACACCAAAGAGGTCATAATAAACCAAACAGGAACAAGGATGGCTAAGACTGGGTTAGATTGAGACGGATTTACGAACTTGAAAAATTTAGGTTCAATTTATGAAGATACGCCATATGTGACTTAGCTCAGCTTCAATATTCTCCTTACAGTTTTACATACATTTCCTATAATTCTGGCTGGGAGAATTTGGAGCTGTTACGATTTATCAAGTAATTTTTGCTGGCGATGTACAAAATCACCTTCAAATGAAAGAAAACCTCAAAATGATAGTTAACTAAGGTAGAAAAACACCAAAGAGGTGATAATAAACCATACAGGAACAAGGATGGCGAAGATTGGTGAAGATTAAGACGGATTACGAACTTCAAAAGTTATTTGAAAGTGATGTCCAATCTCTGCTCCTGTTGCAGGATCATGAACGGCTTCAGCACCAGGTCTCTTCGCTGAAATCAGAGCTCGATAAAATGCAGGGGTTGTACTTGTACTGCGCAGGAAAATGGATTCGTACATCGGTGAGAGTTAGCTTTATACCAAGTCTGTACTCTAGCCTAGTTGCTAATCAGGGCGGATCCAGGATTTTTGGATAGGGGGGTCCCAGGGTTTTCCCAAAAATGTGAAATAGATTGAAGGATATTTTTTGGAATTAGACGGCAGGAGTAAAGGCGCGGAGGGGGTGTTTGGGGCCTCTCCCAGAAAAAAATTGAGATTTCAGGCTCTGAAAAGTGCATTTTGGTGGATCCTGGAGATGGTTTTGCTATGGATAATGGAGAAAGCAAAAAAACCCTAAGGTCTGATGGGGGTGGGGGGGGGGGGGGGGGGTCCGGACCCCCCAGATCCTCCCCCTGGATCCGCCACTGCTAATCCAGTTGAGGGAAACATGTGTCGGTAAATGAAATGAGAAAGATGTCATTTTCAGTTTGTCACGAGTTTTTTTGTTGTTGTTATTCCATTGCAGACCTTCTTCAAGACGAACTTTCAAAGGATGAAGATTGTGTCCGGGATGTCGTATACCTGTGCTTAGCGGGCTTAAAACAGGCAAGAAATATTGTTTGACTTTTACTGTCTGAACGTTTTTCAGAGAGGGCTACTAAGCGGGGAGGGCGCGTTGGACTCCGGACCGAGCGGTCTGGGTTCGAGCCCTGGCCGGGATCACTGTGTTGTGTTCTTGGGCAAGACACTTTACTCTCTCAGTGCCTCCTCTCTCCACCCAGGAGTATAAATGGGCACCGGCGGCAAAATGCTGGACCTGCGATGGACTAGCATCCCATGGGAGTAGCATTACTCCAATTCGGCTACAGAAACCAGGATAAGCTCCAGCAGTGTGGAGCAGTTTGGCCCAAGTGCGGCTTTTTTTTTACTAAGCGGGGAGGGGAGGGGATTTATAAGCGGAGAGATGGAGGCCCACAAAACTGGAGCGAATTTTGCAGTATGCAAGAGCAGGCTACTTGAATGAACGTTCCTTACTCGGCAATTCTGTTACACAAAAACTAATCTTAACATAGATTGAAACCACTAAATAATGGTTTCAAACCATAGAAAAAACATAAAACAAATACTAGGAAGCTGCAATGAAGTGCGGATGGTCAAAATCGGACAAGATTGAAACGGATTGCGAAAATGTTAATTAAAATCAAAAATCGATGGCCCGACGTTTTTAAATGTTAAGTCCATTTGTATGAAACAAGTGGTAAATAATGCTTAGAAATTATCTGTGTTTGTTATGTAAGTAAGATTCCATCTTTGAATTAATATTTCATTCACATGTTTGAGTTTAGAGCTCGTAAAATATAATACAGGGAAGAATAGCAAAAAATAGCGTGACATAGCCCCTTTAAATGTTCAACAGGTACGAGATTTTTTGAAAGGAACTCTGGCGTTTCGTGGATCAACAATGGAAACCGAGTGCGACTTTATGGAGATCGATAACAACATTGCCTCCCGCTTGCAAATCCCGTCCCTTCATCAACAGAGGGACGGTGATATTCCCAAGGGTCTTCCCGAGGGTCTACCCGTCCCGATGCTTGCCAACTTTGGTCATTTTGAGAATTCGGACGAAACAGAAAGTAGTTTTATGTCAGGCGGTGATGTTGAAGCGCAAGAGAAGCCGGAAGAATCTGCGGACTCCAGCGAGCAAGGCGAGGAAAATAACGAAAGCAGCTTAACAGTGACTGTCGCGGAAACGCCCGAAACGACGCAAAGTGTTCAGGAACCATACTTCGAAGAGTTACAAACTCTCAACGTAGAAGTGAGCTTGGCAGAGCAAGAAGATAGCGTGGAAAATCCAAAGCAAAATTTCGCTGTTCAGGGAGGCGACCTAAAGGTTGATACCGCCGATCTGTTTTCTAGTTTTGGCGAAGGACATGCTGATATCGAGACCATTGATTCACTGTTTTGTGGAGAAGGTCTTGCTGCTGATAGCGAGGATAGGACACACCATGAGAATTACACAACAACTGGATCATGTTATGTTGAGCCGGAGAAGGGTGAACCTGACACTAAACCGTCGATTGTGCACGACCAAAATGGCGTCCAAGGCCAGATTACCAGCACAAGTGTCTCAATTGGGACGGATCCTTTGTTTGACACTGTTAATGAGCTTCCACTGCGGCCTTCCAACCCGTTAAATGAACGAGAAAACGTAAATGACTTCTCCCCCGAAGGCTTGTTTCGGGTCGAGTCTCCTGACCGTGAATTTGTGTTTGTCAATCGCGATGGAACTGCTGTGCAAGTCGAGCACAGGCCTCCGCGGCATCCTCTGGAAGACAGCGACGAGTTTTAACGTTACTGGAAACGAGTTTCAGTGGCATAAATTTCAGGCAAAGTCGAAAATATAATTTTGTATTTATATTATTATTTTTTTATAGGTCAATTTGATTCATTTAAGAATTTTGTAATTTTTAGATTATTTTTGACACAAACGGTAAAGAATGTTAGGTGAATTGTGCTAAAACACATGTGCACTTAGAGAAAAATAATTATTTTAGAATTTAAATTATGTATATTTGGTATTAGCAATTGTTTTTCACAACAAAAGGCTTGGCTACATTTCCCACTGTGATCCAGATCTCCCTCGGCCATTGACAGTAAAGTCGTGCAACCTCGTTTCCATTGAAATGAAAGAACCTGGGAACGAAGTTGGGTGATAGTGTATAGTCTCTTCCCCAGGACCTCGGCGGGGATGAGGGTAGGATTAAAAATGAAACAAATTTTCAGAAGCTGTACAAAAGATTGCTTCATCTTGTTAGAAAAAAATCGATAACTTGTTACAGGTTCTCAGATCTTGGTGGTTTATGTTTCTCATTTCTTTTCGCCATAATCTGAGGATCTAGAACAGTCGAGCTTAAATAGAATTCAGGAGGTAATTTTAAAATAGAAAAGAGCGTAAATTTCTTCGTTGAACTATCGCCTCTATAATTAGGATATTGTGGTAATGTACATATGTAATGAGTTGTGAGCTATGGATAAAGAAAGCATGTAAATGAAAGAGATTTCTGCTGTTGTAAAGTAACTTGAGCAGTTGCAAAGAAAGTTCAGAAAAAAATCTCGAAGCCCGAGATTAGATTCGAAACCATGTCCCTGCGGAAGGCCTGTACCATCTTGCTGTTCCGTGCAAACCAACGCGAGTCTTAGCTTTTTCTGAGCTTTCTTATATAGTTGTGTAAAACTGCAAGTTGCATTATAACTGCAAAAATCACTTTGATTTAAAGTTAAACTTAAATTCAGATATTATTAGAAAGGACTTCTGTGGTTAAATATTAAATCAATAAAGATGTTATGGATAACCAGAGCCGTCGTCTTCACTGACCTGGGACTGACTTGAGCATAGTTAGAACCAACGAAAATGCGTAAGGAAATTTTAAGTATTTTTAAGTGGTCTACAAAATTACTTTTAAATCGAAGGAAACCTAAAAATAACGATTTGCTAAGATAGAAAAACAGCAAAGAGGTTATAATAAACTAAAACGAAACAAGGATGGTTAAGATTGGGGTAGATTGAGACGGATTACGAATGGCGAACTTGACAAATTTAGGCTAAATGATTGTAGATGTGCCATCCTTGACATAACACCTTGAAACACTGAACAACGATTTCCCTTTTCCTTATTTCAGTGTTGTTCATGGATAACGAATGACACAAAAACAATTCGGCCCAATCAGTAGTCGGGTAACTATCAATTAATTTATTTACTTGCAATTATATACAGTCCGTCTCGGGTAAACACAGTTAGAAT